CAGGTCAGCCCGCCACTGTTTCAACCACAGCAGTCTGCGGGATGAGACGGTAACCGCAATGGATCTCGTGGAATACCTAGCCGAGTGAAGTGACACGTCTGCCATGTATTCAGTTGCAGCTACTAGTTTGCCTAATGTCTGGTGCGCCTGTACCTGATCAGGTGGTATGCTAGCCTGAAGCTCGCGGATCCACATAATAGCTGATCTAGCAAAAAAGGAAGACGATGTTGCTGCCCTGATCGCCCATCATTAGGCCTGGTGAGCCCTGCGGAGAGAGAACTCAAATCTCTTTTCCTCCACCTTCAACACCTCTGCCATATCACCTGGAATAGTGGAGGTGGAAAACAAGGAAGTTAAAGGAGTGTCCATGGTAGGCACCTCCAACAGAGAAGAAAAGAAAGAAGACACATTGAATAGCTTCTTTTCCGTGGCTAAAGAGGACCACTGTTTCTCCACCGTATTGCGGAAGAATTTAGGGCATGGAATTTGTTTCTCCTCTACTAATTGTTCCGAGAACAAAGGATTGGATTCTTGTTCAACAGAGGTAGACGGCTTGGGGTCCTGTTCAGGAGCAAGATTGGCCGTGGTACAAGCCTTCAGGAGCAAAGACCTAAACAGAGAAGGGTCAAAGAGGCCATATGACAGTGCCGGGTCCGGTCCCGTCTCCTCGTCCTCCGACATGGGCATGTCTGCCGTCTCAATATCAATGGACCCTTCCTCACCTAACTGAGAGGATGTCTCAGAGTCACCAGGTCCAGTGGACAGGGCAAGCCCTGCTTGTGGATGGGGCATTTGTGGAGGAGGTGGCGCCTGTAAGGGCCTTTGACCCATAGATGAGGTCATGAATTGTTGAAATGCATTATGCATAAAGGCCTGAAACTGTTCTGACCACATGTCCTGATCAGAGGAACGAAGACCAGCTGCGGTTGGAGTATACATGGCCTCAGGTCCATGTTGTAGTGTGATCGAAGAAAGAGGAGGAGGAAGAGGGAGAGGAGGAAGAGGAGGAGGAGGGAGACCAATCTGTCCAGTTTCCCCCTGAGGAGACCATGCCCTAGAAGCATCCTGAGTAGGCGCAAATTGAGCCTCAAATGGGGAGCATTCCAGTGGAACGGAGAAAACCACTTCTGCTTCACTGGACATGAGCCTTTGTACTCTGGAGAATTCTCTCTCCAGCACCTGATGTCTCCTCGAGACCTCTCGCTCAGCTGCTTTGGAGGGCTCCTTGGTGGTTATGTTCTTTGTCTTGGCCTTTTTCTTTCCCCCCCGCGTCCAAATCAGATGATCTGTGGTTTTTTTGTGTGGGGGGGAACATCGGAGCCCTGCGACGGCTGAGGAGATGCACTGTCTGCCATTGCACCCTGGATATTCCAGAAGGAGATGTCCAGATAAGGGGGGGGGGAAATAATACGCAGATCTGGTTGTCAGAAAGGGAAATCCCATGCTCTGAAGCAACAACAATGACAAACAGCCAGACAGTCCACTAGAACTGCCTGTCCAGGCCCTGCGGCACAGCACCACGAAACTAGTTGAGGCAGGTGGAGTCTGACTACAATTCCCCCTCCAGAATCTTTTAGTTCAAGAAATAGAAGATGTCTGATTAATAGATCTGGTCACAAAATGAATCCAAAATGGCAGCCGCGGCCCTGTAACTGGTGTCCCTTGTAGGGATGGACAGGTCTGAGGCCTGTGCAAGGCCACACAATAAGGTATTCCCTCGTTTAATACCTAACCCAGTAGGCCAAGATAAGGGCTTAAGAAATTCCCCCCCTGTGCTCTGCCAGAGCACGAGGCCTATTCAAAATGGCGGCTGTGTTTGTAGTGCTTCCAAAATGGCGGCTGTCCCTGCAATCGCTCCCAAAATGGCAATTGCGCCAAATCTTAAAGCTTAAAAGAAAGTGTTTGGGTCTTTTTTCGGCCTGGGGAAGCCCTGGGGAGCTCTGCCTGCTAGATAGAGGCTTTCTCCCCTCGCTCTGATTAAGACAAAAAAACACTTGCAGTTTCGTCACGCAGCCTCCGCTGCGATCCAATCACCGAACGAAGCCTCATAACCACCATGCGATCCAGACGAGGCCCTCCAGCCTTCCGGAGCTCCAAAGAGCAGCGCCCGGTAAAGGAAATCTCCGCTTAGCACGGATCAGCTGAGAAGCGGAGCCCAGCAGCTCCGCAATCCAAAAGCTCTAATTCCAACTCCTATCAAGCCTGCAGGCTCTCTAAAGCCAAAGCTGCAGATGGCCTGAAGAAAGGGCTTTGCAAATTTAACAATCCAATGAATAATTTTATATCTGCATCAAATTAGAAATTTGGATTAAATAAACTAATTACCTAACTCACTAATTAACTTTAACCTAGTCTAAACTGAGGAGCCAAAAAAAGTGCATCCTACTGAGCTGAGACTAAGTCAAAAACTGGGAGGGTGCAGCCCAGAAGGAGGCATGGCTAAAGATTCTGACTTAGTCTCAACTGAGCAGGAAGGCTGAAATTACCCACCGGTGGATTCTACACTCATTATGCTGGAGAAAAGGAGATCATTTAGAACTTAGAGTATATAAAAATTTTAATGAGAAATTGCCTTTATAAACCAATAAAGCTTAATTTCCAGATCTATAAAGGAATTTATTAGGAAAAGGAAGATATAAGAAAAAAATAATCACACATGGAATGAGAATTTGAACTAAAATCAATACAATTAGCCTACCTGAATTTCTTATTTACTGTCTCCCTGAATAATCTTTTGAATTTAAAGACATGCTAATTTTTTCTAATGGCCAAAATAGAGAAGGTAAAACTTAGGTGGGCAATCCTTTGAGCAAGTTAAGATTTTTAGATATCTAGGAATATTTTTTTCAAGCTCAGGAAGCAGAAATGCCCACCTGAACTACCTATTCCGCAATGCAAAAAGATCTGCATCAGCTATATAAAAATATTATTTATTGTTTTAGAAAAGTACACTTTATCCCTGCTGTACTTAAGGCATTTGCAGCTAATGCCCCTGCACTGTTGCTATCTGGGGCTGAGGACCATATGACTTAGAAAGGATTCAAACAACATTTCTAAGAATTATCTTTTAAGTTATCCTCTTTTTTCCAAATTCAATAGTTTGACTGGGAATTGGAGTTGGTAAACTTAGTAAAAGCTGATCTCTGGATAAATATCTTTGCCTTCAAATTAAAATTATACTTCAGTCCTAGTGTACTGACCCATTTAATATTGACCAACAACTATTAACCTCCCTGGGAAACAGTGATTCAAAAGAAATTGAGCTTCTCTGGTTTCTCCAGTGATGCCATCTTAATCTTAAGAGTCATATCAAGGTAGATCAATACGAAGGCAAAGGATCTTAGATATAGAAGGTCAAACAGGAATTGCTTTCCTGGAAGGGATGCAGTTGCAGGCCCACATTTAAATTACTGAGGAAGTTCCTGACCTGGGAGTGTCACCGTATGCTGCCGAATTGCTATGCCATGGCAGACCTGATCCTACAAACTCTTAATTCTAGGCAGTTGTTCAGTTTTCATTTCTACAAGTTTAGTCGCTTCAACTCTTGTGGGCAAGGCAAGATGAAGGGGAAATAGAATTCCTTCTCTCAGGCTGTTTGTTTCAAACTCTTTCTCATTAGGATGCCACAATCTTCTGCAGAATCTAGTTCAGGAGAGGTACCAAATTATCTTCATCAAGTAGGCACGTTGTAGATTTTTTTCATGGATTGTTGTTTCCTTCAAAGGAATTCCATAAACTCTGTGAAGCCATTATTTTTTCACATATTTTTTCAACCTCACAAATTGATTAACCATTGATTCTCTTTTGATGCTCTGAAAGACTTAGTGGTATGAAGAATTTGTCACTTCTGTCAGTGAAGCTGACACATTGGCTACAATCCATGGAGGGTGGTCTCTGAATTTGGTTGTTTGCTTGCAGATATTTCATTATCCAACTAAGTAAGATCTTCAGTGCTAGCATACAAACCTTTTGAGCAAAAGCAATCTAGACAGTATTTCTATAACCTGGAATGCTCTAAATTAAATTAAATTAAATTAAATTAATTAAATTCTATAAGTCTAATACTTATAGAAAATAGTCCCTTTTCAGCTATTTTATTTTCTAGGCTTTTAACAATGGCTAGTTTAGGCATTTTTAACTTAGACTAACTATTGAGAAGATATTTTTATATTACTTTGTATGTCCATTTTTTTTACTGTAACTTTGTTAGGAATTCTGTGAATATATATCTTTGTTAAAGGTACCAGATATTAATTATATAGTTAAAAGACAAAGAGCAAAGGGTGTGGGAGGAAGTTTACCAGCCTCAAACTCCTCAAAGCTCCTTCTCATAATACAGACGTGTCAAACACAAGGCCCAGGGGCCAGATGTGGCCTGTGAAGTGGTTTCATGTGGCCCACGAAGCCATCCTGGAAACAGTGAGGGAACGGCCCCCACTGCCTTGGCCCTGGCCCAGGCCAGCCAAGAGGCAATGTACAATTTTGTGGTGGCCATTTATGCTGAAATGCATTCAGTCTTAGCTCCACAAGACCATTTAAAAACAGCATGGAACCAGCCCCTGCCGTGTCAGCCCCACCCCCTGGGTGCATGCTGGGGAGTGTCATTCTTTGTGAAGAATTAAGAAATGCACCATGCCTTGGCGCTTGCCCCGGTCTCACCCCCTTCTGCCAGAGACCCTCAGATCTGTCCTGCCCAGGCCCCCACAGACACCCTTGACGCGAACAATGTAGAGCTGGCCATGCCCACCCAGTAGGCCGCACCCACCCTGGCCACACCCACCTGGCCCCCAGATGGCAACCGCAATGCTGATGCGGCCCTCAATGAAATTGAGTTTGACACCCCTATCATAATACCAGCCAATGTCCTGATTTAATTCTGGGAGTCATATTTTTATTAATTAATCACATTTATTTGCTGCCCAATTAATCATTTTTAAAGTTTTTCCAAGGCTACTCTGATGATTTATCTCCCATCCATACTCTCTGGCTTTCCTATTCAGGTCAAGAAAGTGACAGGCTCCTATCGGAAAACTATGGCTCTTCGTGAACGCAACAAAGTTCTGAAGCTGTGGAAGAGACTACGTGGTGGAGAGATTGGGCTGGAGACAGACAACCCCAGCTTCTACCAGATCTTCTCTACATACACCTGGTCATGGAATGTCTTGCAAGAGCTGGTGTCACCCCGAGAACTTCGGGAATATGATAAACTTTGCCAACGTGTTGTCCAGCCAGCCACTCCTGTAGATAAACTGATCAGTACTAGTGGAAAATCAAAAAGAAGTCAGAAGTAACACCAGATGTTGCAACCAGTGCTCCTCCTTTTATGTGAATGCATTCCCTCAATCAGTCTCAGGCTGGTATGCAGGTCACACTTTCTATGAGACATAGTGCAAGGTTTCAACTTTGTGCCCTGGCTAATACAGTGAAAAATTAAGCTTGAAGAGGCAAACCATCTCTCTTGTCATCTTTCTATTCCCATTATTACTGAATGCCACTAACAGGCACAAGGAAAGTAAAACAGGTGAAAAGTATTCAATCTTGAAAATCAAGAAAGATTTGGGATAGCACCCAAGTCTTTATCAACCACATTTAAGGACATTCTATTCTCCTGACAATCTTTTTCTCTTCTTTCTTTTCCCAGCCTTAACAGTTAACTTAAAGCAACTCTTAATAACCATCTTTCTCTAGGAATGAGCCAACAATGTATTTATATTTTGTTCAAGGGAGTGCATAAATGAGAAGAGGCGTTGTCTTACCTGAACGCCTTTTCTCAGCACGGAGATGGAGAATCCACCAATGGGTTTAGACTGTGTTCCTGCCCAATCAGATCAAGTCAGCCAAAGTTGCCACGCTTCTCCTGGGCTAGAAGATCCCAGTCTTGATGAAGGTGAAGCCATGACTGACAGCAAGATGTGTTGGCTCATAAATGTAAAACTAGACCTAATAACCTGCTAGGTGGGAGTGGATTCTCCATCTCTGTGCTGAGAAAAGGTGTTCAGGTAAGACAACGCCCCTTCTCCAGCACTGGAGATGGAGAATCCACCAATGGGACATACCAAAGCTTATCGTCCCTAAGGGAGGGAATCAGGCCTGCCCAGTGTGGCACTTCGAGATAGTACCTGTTGCAGAACCCTCCTGCCAAAGGATGCCTCCGCCGAGGCGAACTTGTCGATTTTGTAATGCCTAATGAAGGGTGATGGAGAGGACCATGCGGCCGCTCTGCAAATGTCCTCAATGGACACTTGAGTGTCCCAGGCTGCAGAAGTAGCCACGCTACAGGTGGAATGGGCCATGATGCGCCCTGGAACCAGCACTGAATCCACCCTATACGCCTCTGCAATACAAGCCCTAATCCACCTGCCAATCGTGGAGGACAACACTTTTCTGCCCCTGGAAGGAGGATGATATGAAACAAAAAGGGCTTCGGTAGAGCGGAAGGCAGCTGTCCGCAAGATATAATAACAGAGTGCTCTGCGGACATCCAGCAGATGCCACTGCCATTCCAGATCATGTAAGGGATTAGGACAGAAATCTGGCAACACAATTTCCTGAATCCTGTGAAATAAGGAATGTGGAACAAAAGTTGGATCAAGACGAAGGACCACTCGGTCCCGGTGAAAGATACACAAATCATCTCTGGTGGAGAGAGCAGCTAATTCGGAAATCCACCACGCGGATGTGATAGCTACCAAAAATGCTACTTTGAGTGATAAGAATCGCAAATCACATGTTCTGAGAGGTTCAAAGGGCGGATTGGTAAGAGCCCGCAAGACCCTCAGTAATTCCCAGGAGGGATATCTATGGACTACAGGGGGCTTGGTGTTGGTAGCACTCTTGATGAATGATCAGATCAAGGGATGGTGACCCAGGGAAGTTGCAGATTCACATGTAAGGATGGAAAAAGCAGCAATCTGTCTGTGTGGTGTGTTGGGAGCCAAACCCCTCTCCAGACCCTCCAATAGGTAGTCCAATATGTGAGGAATTGTCAGATCCGGTAAAGTCAAGTGGTGCCTTGAGCACCATGAACAGAAATTTCTCCACATGGCCTCATAAATACGGTTGGTAAAGGCCCGACGGGAAGCTTGGATTATAGAAATGACTCCTGGCGAGCAGTGCTCCCGAGCTAAAACTGAGCACTCAAGTGCCATACAGCTAACTGGAGCCATTGGGGGTCTGGGTGAAGTAGTGTCCCCTGACTGAGCGAGACCCTATCCGGAGGAATCCTCCACGGTTCTGCTAGTGAGAGGTTCACTAAGTCGGCAAACCACAGTCTCTGAGGCCAGTACAGTGCCACTAGGAGAACTTCCACTCTTTCCCTGAGGATCTTGCGTATGACTGCTGGGAGAAGAGGGAGAGGAGGGAAGGCGAAGAGCAGACCCTCCGGCCACAGACTCTGTAGAGCGTCCATGCACTCTGCCCCTGGGCATGGGAAACGAGAGAAGAACCTTGGTACCTGAGCATTTGTCGGGGAGGCGAATAGGTCTAGAATCGGAAGACCGAATCTGTGGGATATTTCCCTGAAAATCCTCGGGTGCAGGCGCCACTCTGAGTGGTTCACCGTCGTCCTGCTGAGGAGATCCGCTTGCGTGTTTGCCTCCCCTGATATGTGATCTGCCTTGATGGAGGCCAGAATTGACTTCACCCAAGAACCCAGAAGAAGACCCTCGGTCAGGAGGGCACGGGATCAAGTTCCCCATTGCCGATTCACATGGGCCTTGGCAGCAATGTTGTCCATGAGGACCAGTACGTGACGTTTTGCTACCGAGTTGCGGAAGTGACGCAGGGCCAGGTGTATGGCTCTGAGCTCCAACCAATTTATATTGTGTCGTAGGTCGGATCGGGACCAACAACCTTGGGCCCACTGTGATTGTAGGTGCACACCCCAACCGTACAGACTGACGTCAGTTGTCAGAATAATTCAGTCTGGCTCCTTGAAGGAGGACCCCCTGAGCATGGCCAATGAGAGCCACCACCTGAGGGAACGCAACACTCTGAGTGGGATCCGCACTCTCCGAATGGATGAGCTGAGGTTTCTGAGGGAGCAGAAACCACTGAAGTGTCCTGGAATGGAGCCTGGCCCAAGGAACGATGGCAATGGCCGATACCAATTTTCCTAGTAATTGGGAGAGACTTGCTAGTGTTGCCATGCCGCTCCCAATCAACTGTTGTATGCTGTCCTGACGTTCTTGGAATAGAAAAACCCGGCAGTCAACCGTGTCTATGATGGCCCCTAGGTGTAATAGTCTTGTTATGGGGGACAAGTGACTCTTGGAAAAATTTACCGAAAACCCGTGGTTTTGAAGAAGGTGGATCACCCATTTTAGACCCGCCAGAGCGGCTTGTCCTGATGACGACTGAATCAGAATGTCGTCCAGGTGGCACTGGACTCTGACTGGCATCATCCGGAGGTGAGCTGCTAGCACAGCGAGGACTTTGGTAAAAACCCTCGGGGCTGAGGGTAGACCGAAAGGTAACGCCCCGTATTGATAGTGCCTGCCCCTGTAAGCAAACCTTAGAAACCAGCGGTGGCTGAAAGAGATGGGGATCTGAAGATAAGCTTCCGTGAGGTCTACGGATGTCAGGAAGTCTCCTCTTCTTACACTTCCGAGAATTGACTGGAGCGTTTGCATCTTGAATTTGCGATAAACAAGATGCTGGTTTAGTCTTTTTAGATCTAGGATTGCTCTCCATCTCCCCGAGGCCTTGGGGATGACAAAGAGGATGGAGTAGAATCCCCGATCTCTCTGACCCAACGGTACCGGTTCTGTGGCCCTTATGCTTATGAGGTGCTGAATGTCCTGTTGCATCAACCTTTTCTTTGTGAGATTTCTTGATTGGGGACAAGAGATAAAGTGATTCGGAGGGTAGGTGAGGAATTCTAGGGAGAGCCCGTAGCAAACCGTGTTCAGCACCCATGCATCTGTGGTGGTGACCTCCCACTGGCTGGCAAAGAGAGAAAGTCTGCCGCCTATGGGAGGGACCACCGGAGAGTCATCTGGAACGACGGAAGGGCCGACCGCTCCCACGAAAGGGCCGTTTGCCCTGAAATTGTTGTCTGGGCTTAGAGCCCATTCTGTCTGATTGTCTATCCTGTCTGTCCTGTCTGACAGGAAAGGAATGGGGCAGATAGGAATAATTGGGCCTAGTCCCTGTACGGAAGGACTGCCTCCATGAGTATGTTTTGGATCTTTTGTCCGGACGCTTAATAAGGTGATTGAAGACCTTACGCTTATCCTTATTCTCTGTAAGGTACGGCTCTAAAGCTTCCCCAAACAGCTTCCCCCCCCCAGTAAGGGGCTGCAGACAGGCGCCATTTGTACCTGGCGTCCGCATGCCAGTGTTTCAGCCAAAGCATATGGCATCCAGTAACGTTGGAAGCCATTGCCCTGGATGAAAATCTGGCCGTCTGTAGCGTTGCATTGGAAGCATATTCCATTGCCACCACCATCTTGCTCAAATCCTGGTGGGTTTGGATATCTTCCACCGGAATTCTGGCCTGAAGCTGTCTGAGCCAGCGGAGAGCAAACCTATTAAAGAAAGAGGCTGATGTAGCTGCCCTAATAGCCCAAGCTGTAGCTTGGTGTGTCTTGCAAAAAGTTAGCTCCTTTTTATGGTCTTCTGCCTTTAGGGCATCAGATACGTCCCCAGGAGTGGCAGTGGGAGATACCAGGGGTCCCAAGGATTCGTTCACCTTGGGGACCTCCAGAGCATCTGCCAAGTCCTAGGCCATGTTATAAAGCCTTTTCTCACTGCCACTCGGAATGGGGAGGGTATCTGGGGATTCCCACTGTTTCCTGATTGCATTTAGAAACATAGATGGACAAGGTATGCGGTGTTATGTGGTTACTGGTTCCGTGAAGTTCGGATCTGCTTCCGAGTCCGGAGCAGCAGTCAATGTTGATGTGGAAGGCTCAGGACCAAGATGGGCCGTTGAAGTGGCCTTTTGGAGCAAGGGGACAAAATGAGACGGATTAAAGAGACCCGTAAAGAATGGCATTTCAGGAAGGTCTTCCTCCTCATCCGACATTGGAATCCCCATGTCCGCATCATACTCACGAAAAGATGAACCCTCAGAGTAAGAAGACTGTGAAGGTGAATTAGGTGCACCATATGCCTCGGTAGTTGGCTAGTGGATCGGTAGGGGGGAAACCAAGGTAGACCTAGGTACCTGAGATCCAGCCTAAAGGGCACGTGCTACCGCCTGTGCAATCAATTCATTTAAGCAGTCCTCTGAGGGAAGAGGAACCGGCTCTGTTGGTCTGAGTCCAGCCACAGTAGGAGTAAATGTGGCTTCCGGGGCCGACTGTTGAGCCCGCTGAGCCACAGGCTACATGATGTGTTTCCGATGAGATGAATCACCTGGTAGAGGGATAGAGACGGTATCCCCTGTGGGAGAGAGGGAGAGAAAGAAAGGAAGAGGGAGGGAGAGAAAGAAAGGGAGAGAGGGAGAGAGAAAGAAAGGGAGAGGGAGAGAGAGAGAGAGAGGGAGACAGAGAGAGAGTGAGAGAGAGAGAAAGAGGGAGAAAGATATTAAATTAGTAACATGATTGTTAAGTGAATCTGGTTTCCCCCATTAACATTGCTTGTCAGAAGGTTGCAAAAGGGGATCACGTGACCCTGGAACAATGTGACCATGAATCAGTTGCCAAGCATCAAAATGTAAATCACATGACCCTGGGGATGCTGCAACAGTCATAAGTGTGAAAAATGGTCATAAGTCACTTTTTCAGTGCCGTTGTAACTTTGAACAGTCACTAAGCTTGGCTCTCCACCAGGCTCTCTACCAGAGCCTCCTCCCCTCCCCGGGCAATGGTGCGGAGCTGCTTGTGCGTCCTTGGCAACGCCTCCCCCCTTCAATCTCCTTCCTTCTCCATCTCCTTCCTTTCCCCTTCAATTTTCCTTTCTTCCATCTCCATCCCTTCCCCTTCAATCTCTTTCTTTCCTTCCTTCCTTCCTTCCTTCCCCCTTCAATCTCCTTCCTTCTC